GTCCTCTTTTGGAAGGCCAAACAAAGTAGTTTCGCTTTCACAACGAAGCACACAGCGTCTTCACGACATGGCTGCAGTGTCAACAATACTACAGCGAGAATAAAAGTTATGCTTTCTTTCTTTGCGTGAACATTTGGGCGGCGTTTTGCAAATCTTCCCACATCGTGACGTAGACATGTGGGGGCGTGTTAGAACGAGTCGTTTTAGGAAGGCGTGGTTGACTCTTTTATAAAGAATATCTCTTTGGATTTGAGACTTTAGTCTTTGCAACTTTATAGATCTTCTTTATGCACCAAGAGCTTGTAACACTCCAAAGAGAAAGGAAAAAGTTAAATCGCATCATATGACCCCTTTAAAAAACAGATATCTAGTCCTGGATGCTGACTTGTCAACACACAATACAGCAACAGCTGTTTTTGTTGGAAATTGTTGGTCATATTGAGTCCGAAATTAAAATATAATATTATTTAAATATATAAATAAATAAATATCTGTTGTATAAAAAAATCACACTTACAATATCAGAAAGGTTGTGATTAAATAATTACTACTTAAATATAGAACATATTTTGTATGGTACACTGATTCTATCATTCTTCCACCATGTTAACAAATATTACTTACTGTAAGTGAAAGCATACAGGTTTTGTCTTTCTTACTCCATTGTCCTCTTCTTCTGTAGGTGAGGATGAAGAGGCCTGTGTTGAAAGAGACAGCGGTTGAGATTGTGCGCTCGGGACATATTCATGAGCCAGGACATCAACATACTAGGAGTGGTCAATTCAGATCAGATCAGCTTTACGTTTCCTTATCTATACTACATTAACTACAACTTTTCACTGTTTTCATAAATATTTCTGAAAATACTTTTGAAAAATACACTACCATTCAACTGAATGAAGAACTTATTCTCACCAAGGCTGCATTTATATCATCAAAACTATTTCAGGGAGTGCAATAGTGTGGTTGGTAACATTTATACTCTAACAGTCACAATTAAAACGACGAAAATACATTGCCATGTGGTCATTACTCCTATTGCTTACGCTTTTTTTTTAACTTATTTCTCTGTCTGTGTCAGGTGGACCCTGAGCCGTACTGGGACATCTGTACTCATGACACATGCTCGTGTCTGTCTGTGGGTGATTGTGCATGTTTCTGTAACACTATTGCTGCCTATGCTCACGAGTGCGCTCAGAAGGGACTGGTGGTGAACTGGAGGTCCAACGACTTGTGCCGTAAGTTTCACTACTCATTTACTCACCCACATGTCGTTTCATGTACATGAATGTTCATATTCTTTTAAACAATAAAAGTGGATGGTTATAAAAGCTCTCAAGCACCAAAAAGGACAAAAAACGGTAAAAGTACCCTAAAAGTAGTTAAAATCAATCATTCACATTGTTCCAAGTCTTTTAAACTGTTAAATAGTTGTGTTGTGAAAATATGATTTTTATTAATAGCAAATTAAAGGGCAAATTAATTTGAGCATTTCAAGCTTTTGTGAGATCTAAGAGTTAATAAAAAATTTTTAGAGTAAAAAATATTTTTTGAATCAAAATTGCTAAACAATTATTTATGGATCATTTTTATTTTTTCGAGCATGTCCTCCAAAGTGGGTTTTTGTCAGATTTAGCTAGTTAACTGTAATATATATATATTTTAGAGTTAAAAAAATTATTTTTGAAACAAACTTAATGAACGAAAAATTATTTCTGAATAATTTTTACCTTTTTTTTTTTTTGTGTGTGTGTGTGTGAATGTAAAAATGAAGTTTTATGGAAATAAAAATATATAGAACTCTGTTGCTAATGGTATAGGCCTATAATACAATATAATAAATTACAAAATTATTAAATAAAAAACTAAAAAACTTTTAAAATAATTAAATACAATTATATAAATACATAAAACTTCAGTAAACCTGTAACTGTAAACTGTATAGGCCTAAATGCAATGACAAATATCTAATGTTGGCTAATTTCTGAGCCTGGTGAGAACACATTTTTATTGATGGTTAAACTAGCCCTTTAATCCCAAGGGGCAAAATAATGCTATGTACTGTAAGTCATATTGTAGAACAGTGTGTTGTAACTGACTGTTTACTTGCAGCACTGAGCTGTGAGGAGTTGAATAAGGACGCAGGGGTGGAGTGTGAATGGAGATATAACGCCTGTGGAAGCGCTTGCCCTCCCACCTGCCAGCACCCTGAGCCACTGAGCTGTCCCATCACATGTGTGGAGGGATGCCATGCTGTCTGCCCACCAGGTAGCGCCAATTCACACATACTCGCAAGTAAGTTGACTTCATAGACTTCCAGTTCACTTTCATTCACACATTCTGTCTGCTTCTGTCCCTCAGGGCAAGTTTTAGATGAGGTGCTGAGGAAATGTGTGGAAGCGTCACAGTGTCAGGTGTGCATGCATGACGGAGAGAGAATCTCCCATGGAAAACAGTTCATCCTTAACCATGACGATCCTCATCTCTGCCAGATATGGTACGCCATGCACTGTTTATAATCTCAATCACTCATTATTGTATGCACTGTGTGGGAGAATCTCACAAAGAAAAGTTTTAATCCCAAAATTGAATTGAAAAAATGTAAATATTAAATAAGACAATTTTTGTTGTTGCTAGGACCATTAAACTGTTTTGCATTTTCACATTATTTTCATGATTTCACCACAAATTTTCATTACTGTAAAGCAAAAATATAATTCAATATCATTCTCTGGAATGATGAGTTATGAATCATGATGTTTAAATATTTTATGTAAATGACATTATTTATTTATTATATAATAGTATATATATTTATATACTATTATAATGTTTATTAGTATTTATTTATATTTTAGTTTATTAATTTTTATATTATATTTTCAGTTTAAGCTTTAGTAATTTTATTATGTGCTTTTGTCATTTGTATTACTTTTTTAAACATTTCTATTTAGTTTAGTTTAGTTTTGGTTTTAATCATTTCGGTACTTCAACTTAAGTTCATTTTATTTCAGTTAGTTGCCAAGGCAACATTTCTTTTTCAGTTTTAGCTTTAGTAATTTTATTATGTGTTTTTGTGATTTGTATTTGTTTTTATTTTTAAATTATTATTTAGCTTTATTTTTTATTTAATAATTAAATTTGATGCTCTTTCTGAAGACACAAATTATATTAATAATACACAATATTATTTAAATATTTTATTAATATTTATTTTATTTATTTTATGTGTGTTCCATTTTTAATATATAGTATTTTCCACATTAAATTAATGAGAATTGTGGCTAATTGTCATGAAAATAATTGTAAACATTAATTTTATAATATATAATTTTTTTAATCTATTTAAGTGTATAATATTGTCATGTTTGTTATGTTTTCAGTCACTGTGAGAGCACCACGTTGACGTGCGGCCCATGTCCTGTAACTGGTTTCGCCTCCACACTAACACCAACCACCGTCAGCAACACCCCGACGCCGCTCCCGTTTTCCACCCCGGTGCCTGCCGATGCCTGCGACGGAGCGATG